TATCAGAGGTGGTATTCAGCCAGTTCTGACCGATTCTGGTGAACCAGTAGCGGTAGTTTGGTGAACTGACGAATACCACCTCTGGCTGGCTCCACCCCCATCTATTCACTGCCTCCTGAGTTCCAGCTGATCAGCTGGGTGTCCCAGTTGATCAGTTTCTTCTGTTGTCCTGCACAGAACGGAGCTGGAAAGCAGGTTAGTGGGGTGGGGAGGGAATGGGGATTATAGTATCCTTGCTCTGGAGTGGGGTAGAAATGGAAATTTTACAGTATCCTTGCCCTGGAGTGGGGTGGAAATGGGGATTTTGCTGCATCCTTCCCTGCCACACTCACCAAGCCACACCCAGAGAACCGGTAGTAAAAAAAAAAATTGAATCCCATCCCTGCTATGTACTAAAGGTCTAGTAGTATGTTCTCTTTTCCTATGACTTCCAAAAGCACCTGAAGGTTATGGTAGAAGAGATACTCCTGAGCCAGGNTTCCTAAAGGTGTGGGGTTTTTTGCCAGAAAGCAGTGAAAAACATTGCAAATTGCAGTCACATGACCATGGGATGCTGCAACCAGTTGTAAATGCAAGCCAACTGCCAGACAGTCAAAGTGTGGTCATGTGAGGGGTTGACATTTTTTGATGGCTGTTGTAACTTCAGTCATAAAATGACCGGTTGTAAGTTGAGGGTTACCTATATTGTATTTAATTAGTTAATTAATCATTATATATACCTTCCTTAGTGTTGAGCTGTTATTTTCCTGTTTATTTCTTACTACTTGGCTTTTCCCCCCCTTTGTTTTCTTTGCCTTCTCTATTCTCATTGATGTATCACTTTATGCCAGCTTCCTTCAATTTTTCTGGTGGTCACTAAACTTATTTCTATATTAAATAATTTTGTAAAGTGTCCCATTTACTAGAAGGAACTCTGGATGGCAAATGAAATAACAGAATTGGCCTTGATATTTTCAAATTTATCTAGCAAGCAACCACTCCATGCCAGTTTCATCAACATCCTGGCTTCAGTGCCTGGTCTTCATTGTGTTACTAAAGACCAACAAGACTGGGTATCTGGTCATAGTGCTTAGCCATACTAGCAGAGATTTACAGGAGTATTCATCTGCAACTCTGTAAAATACCAATTTAGCACAGATTATGTCATACACATACTGTGATACCTCATATTTGTCATTAATTAATCCAGAAGACTCAATGACCACTAAAAATGACAACTGCCAAACAAACCATGTGACTTAGCAAGCAATTCTTTGTTTCAGCTGGAAAGGACCTCCTATCTGTCTCTTTGCCTATGTCAGTGAATTTCCCAGCATGGCCAATCTTCTGTCTGCCCAGTTCTTCCTTTTGCAGCAACCTTCCTGACATCGTCAACTTCCTATCTGTTTTCCATGTCAAAATGTGTCCAAAATCAATGAGTTTTGAAGCAGTCAAGTCATATATTTTTTCATCCTTAAATTTGGAGAGTCATAACCTTATATGAACTCTTCTGCTGTTGTTTTTAAAATATATTTCTACACACATGCCATGTTTACCATGACCTTTTGTTCCTAAAGTATGTGTCCTATCTGTTTTTATTCCTAGCAGGAAACCTAGCTCTGAAATCTGTTTCCTTTTTAGTCCTGTTTCCCTGCTTTTGCATATTTAGGTCCAGTCTTGCTTAGAGCTATGCTTATTGTATTGGAAGGCCACAGACTCTGTAGCAACAAAGTCCAGCCAGCCTCCATATCTGCAATTAAACAAATAACAGGTGGCTATATCATGACTGCCAAAAAATATTTGCCTGATCTCTGGAAAGCTCCCAAGAATAAGGCAGAAAAAGAGCAGCTAAGGAAACAAAATCTTTTTTAAAACTTCAAATACTATAAATCATTGGCTGGTTTTTATTTCCGCAACCATACATTTTTAAAGTGGGTACCATAGTTGCTATAATAGCTAGACTTGTGTGTGTTTCCAGGTAATGAGAGGATCCAGGTGATATTGTATTCCATTTATAATTTCTTCCACATCTTATCAGAAAACAACCAATTAGAAAAGAAAGGATAAAGTACTTCCTTTTTATTGGTAGCCCCTATAGTTGTCTACTAGGTAGCATCTTTACTATCTAATTCAATTTCAACAGGTTTACTCAACAGACATCATTTTTGTCTTGCTAGTTGATCATCTGTGCCCAAAGAAATATTAGAACTGTAGTAATATTGATTTTTCTAAACTTCTCTGTAAATCGGTACTAATGAGCATTGATTTTTTATGGACTGGTTATCCTAGTATCCTAGTTAATTCTGAAATATAGTTCTGGGTTATTAGTGCTCATCTCTTAGGCATTTTGTCCCCATGTTACTTAATGTATTTTTGAAATACTGGGATGAAGTATCATATATACAGGCATTATGGCCAGATCTATTTCTCCACTTCATAAAATTTAGCTGAAAAGGTTGAAGTGCTCAGTCAGAACCTGGCCACAATAATGAGCACCATTAACAAAAAGTTAATTAATCCAGACAAGATGAAGATGCCATAGAGAAATGGTTTTTCTCCTTAAGGAGGTGATATTCATTATGTGCTAGATGGAATTGAACTTCAGTTGAAAGAATAACTATAAAGTTAGCAGAAGCCCTTTCATAAGCTTACCGGTAATTTTCTGAATTTTAAGATGGAATATATTCTTAGCCTTTTAATAAACTTTCCTGGAAATTGTATTAAAGTAGCACTATAAGAGTAAAAATAAAAAGTATAAGAGTATAAATAATACCAGAGCTAGTTCTCTCAACATTTCCTTAACCTTCATGTCATGGCAATGTTGTGCATTTGAAGGCAATCTGTTCATAATAATGGTTGTCATTAATTCACTGTAATACATTTAAGTTATGCATATATGAATAGCAATAGCAGTTAGACTTATNTCTATCTATCTATCTATCTATCTATCTATCTATCTATCTATCTATGCTTTTTTGTGTTATTGTGAGATGTTATAGCAAATAGAACAGGTAGCTATATAACTCTCATAAATAAATAAACAAACAAATGAGTGAATAAATGCTCATTAGAGAAGGACTATCATCCATATGGGCAACTACTGCTAAGTGATAAGAAAAGTGCTGTGCAAACTTTGAGGAATGGTTCCTCCTAAGCAAGGGGAAATGTAATTCAGGAGAAATGCCCCAGCTGCAACACATTCTTTAGCTTGCATAAATCTTCTGCCAGCAGGAAATCCACCATCACTTGTGGTTTAAGCTGCTGCACAATAATGTGTTAAGAGATAAATGGAGAACCTTCCACCCTTTGTGACAGACCAAGTCAAGGAAAATGAGGTCTCTGGAACATAGATATAGTGACTGGTAACAAAATCTTCAACGCCTGTCAGAGTTCCCTTCTGGTTTGTATGCCTTCTTTGCAACTGTCTGGTTGGGTCCCTGCAGTTCTCATGACAAGATTTCATAGGAGTTTGCCATCTGCCTCCTTCCTAGCTCTAAGAGTGCCTGGCCCAAGGTCACCAAGTTGCCTTTGTGTTTAAGGCAGGACTAGAACTCAGTTTCCGGATTCCTAACCTGAGGCTTTAACAGACTTAGAAGCCAGAGCTGCAGCTAGAGTTAACTGCAGGAAGCTTCAGCCAGGAGACTTCCAGATAAGATCGTAGCAATGGCCCTGAGGTGTAATAAAGGTTTCTAAATGACCCTAACTAGGTAACATCATCAATGCTAGTAAGGAGTGCTTTGCTATCAGTGTATATTCTGGTGTCTTGCCTATTGGGGGGGGGGGTCTTAGGGATCCTTTAATTGGGCTGTTTACAGATGGCTCTTGATCATTTCTTGATTGGAATATTGCTTACTTGTTGGTCTTACAGCAGATTGATAAACTGGGAGCAAACAGCACTCCTTGCTAGCACTGATGATATCCAGTTACGGTAATGAAACGTCTGCAAGAAAACAAGCAAGCTCAGAGAGCACCAAGGAGCCTCATAATAGCGTATAGATTTGCCCAAAGAGGTGCAATTGTTCCTAAATAATAAAGGGCAGCTTGGGGGTCTTTTACAGGGAAGAAGCTTCTTCCTGCTTTACTCAAATCTTTGCTACAGGTCAGAGGTTTGGCTGCATCTGCTCACCAGAAACAACGATTAGTTTCCCTCCCACTAAAACTGGCTTTTTTTTTTTAGGTTTTAATTACAATAGTAAAAGCACACTAAGCCTAGAAAGAGAAAAAGGGATGAAAAGAATAAAAAGTGCAAAAAAATTGCATTTTCAAAAGAAAGCAGCTTATATCCCACTGAGCTGCTTTTCGAAACAACAGATTTAGATTTAGTAGAGGGGGTGTGCATAAATGCACTAACGTACCAATCGTCCCTGTCATTGTTTTTTTTTTATTCTCTTATTCTTGTTCTCCTTTATGTTTGACAAATTCAAATAGACAGACAGACAGACAGTCTGTGGAGATTAGCAGTCATCCAGGTCATGGTTGCCCCAAAGGTGCTTTTTCAGGAGGCAACCGGTTTTTCTTGTTTTTTTTCCCCCTTTGAAGACGTTTCGCTTCTCGTCCAATAAGCTTCTTCAGCTTTGACTGGATGGAGGAGACTGGAAGGATGCGTTCAATACAGTCAGAGCTGAAGAAGCTTCTTGGATGAGAAGCGAAACGTCTTCAAAGAAAAAAAAAACAAGAGAGTCCAGTTGCTTCCTGAAAAAGCACTTTTGGGACAACAGGAGATTTACACGCCACAAACCAAGTTCTCCGCACCCAGACGAAGAGCAACAACGGCTTTCTACTCTCCCGCCTCCGCGTTGTTACCGCCCCGGCTTCCACAACGGCCTCCTTCTCCCCCGCCCACCGTTCCACGCCCCTCCCTCCGGCTCTACCGGCTTGTCTCTCCCCGTTGCCTTTAGCTCCGCCCCCCCAGCCTCGTGTAGGGAAGGCGGATCTCGCGCATCGGGTCACAGCGGCCGTCACGTCAGGGAGGGAAGTAAAGGGGGCGTGGTTTATATTCGTCATCTGACTGGCTGCAGCTGCCGGAAATCTCGCGCCTCTGAGAAGAGTGGGGTAGCTGGGGGGAGAGCGGGGAAAGATGGCGACAGAAAGGGAGCCCCCTCCGTTTGGGGACGGCAAGCCGACAGAGTTCGAGGAGCTGGAGGACGGGGAGGACCTTTTCATCAGCACCGCTTCTACCCTGGAGGTAAAGAGGAGGCAATCACGGTTTCTCCACTTTTCTCTCTTCTTGGGACTCCTTATTTCTTCTCCCGGGGCAGCTGCTGTTGGGTTTGTCATGGCTGTCCTTCCCTCCGTCCCAAAGGTTTTGACTTAATTGAGGGGGGAATTAAGGGCGTGGGGGGCTTCCTTAAACCTTGATTTACTCCTGCGAGTGGCACCTGTCTCCTTTTCCCTGCCATTCCCTGGGCTGGGGCTCGCCAACCCGAATTGCAGCAGCCAGCTCTGGGTTTATTCCCAGCTGGGACACTTTTCTAAAAAAAACACCAAGCGATTTAATTTTCTCCACTTTGGGCAAGGACTATGTATGCCACTAAGTGGATTTCCTCCAATAGGTTTCTCTAATAGTGGGCTTCTTCTGGAGAGTAAGGTCTGTTTGAGGGTGAGCATATTCCTTGCAGTACTGCATAAAGAAAACATCCGTTAAAAATGGCTTTCTTTGGATGAAGTGTATACAGGTAGTCCTCGACTTACAACAGTTCATTTAGTGACTGTTTTGAAGTGTACACCGGCACTGTAAAAAGTGGCTTATGACCATTTTTCACTCTTATGACCATTGCAGCATCTCCACGGTCATATCATTTACATTCCGATGCCATTGACAACTAGCTCTTATTTATGACGGTTGCAGTATCCTGGGATCCTGCGATCACCTTTTGTGACCTTCTGACAAGAAACTCAAAGGGGAAAACCAGATTTACTTAACCAGCATGATAATAATTTACAACTGCAATGATTTACTTAACAAACGTGGCAAGAAAAGTCATAAAATGGGGAAAACTCACCTAACAAATTTCTCACTTAGCAACATAAAGTTTGGGCTCAACTGTGGTTATAAGTCAAGGACTACCTGTATTTGAATATTCCTGAACTTTTTGTTGTCTCAAATATTCCTCAGTTGTTACTGTCATAACTGTTATGGGCGGGCTGCTAATTAGGGAATAAAGTATTGCTGAAAGACGTTCAAATACTTCTAAAGTTTTGCTGGGAGTTCCATCCAGTGAAATCAATGGGTTAATTTTTCAGTTGGCGTGTAGTTGTGCTATAACTCTACTGATAAATTGAAGGGGAGCAGTACAGAGTGTGTATTTTTCAATATAGGATTTTATTTGTTTCTTTATTGGGTACTCATGTCCTGCACCATTGATGAAAATTTAATTAGCTCAGGCACTGGTTTGTATATCTTGAATGCAACTATTAGATTTAATAAAAGAAGCTTGATAGTGGCTTGTCTCATGTTAATCTTTATACATCTAACCCAAAATATTTATAAAATGTTCTAAGTTGTAAACAACCACATTTAGTATCTGTTTGCCATATGTGATAGATAAAAGCATTTAGTGAGCCTTCTCTCACAGGAAGGAAGTACTGATGCTTTGCTGGCTGTTTCCTAAACTTACTTCCACCTTTTTATGCTGAGTCAGTAGTATTTTTCTCCTTGTGAAAAAGATAGGCAAAATGTGTGAATGAAACGTGCTTTCAGAAAATTGAATATAGTACTCCTGCCTTTCTAAGCTGCTCAGTTTAAATATATAATACTATAAACAAGACAATTAGAAATAATTTCTTAGCATTAATTAGATTACTTATATAGATATTCATATTTCTCATACATTGGAGTTTGACTCCTTGAGTTGTGGATGAAACTAGCAGCCAAAGTAGTTTTACAAGAACAAAGACTGAAACAACAGAAATTATGTATGTGCATGTATCGAGTTGACTATTAATGTGAAATTAATAGTGATAAATGAGAGATTTGATATTTGCAGAATTTGATTTTGTAATTAAATTGTAGGTTTAATTTTCTAATTGGTAAGAAGTTACTAATTTTTGAGCCCAACAACTCAATGCATGAGAGAAAACTTTGGATCTTTGGTTAAAACCTTTGCTATATAACAAAGTTACTATCACAAGTTTTATCTCTTCAACTATGGGACAATGTTGTTTATCAGAGTATGTTCTACAATATTCTGATATAACTAAAAGCCCTATTTTGTTTCATTAAGTTATTGAAAGTTTAGTGTTCAAATAACTACAGAATTATAGCGACTTTAGTTACTTTTTTAATAAATTTCCCCTGGATTTGGTTTCATTTAACAATTAAGGCAGCATATCTGTATCCTGCAGTATTAACAGGCATGGGTTGGTGATGTCATAAAAGGTATGAAAATATTAATATCTTAAAGAGGTACTTTAGAGTTGCATTGAAAGTATCTTATAGGTTTCTCCTGGCTCAACATTGTTTCCTCTGTCAGATAAATATATAAATGCTAAGATGCATTATCTGCAATCTAAATACAAAGCCTTGCATGTAATTTAAATCAACACTAATCTCTCCAGGGAAGCTCCCTATTATATTAATCCCCTCCAGGGAAATTAGTACAGGTGTGGAAAATATTTTGACTTCAGAATTCCTTGTTTTGAGCTACTAGAATGTTATAGGTGATCAATACATCTTGCACACCTCCAGAAAGGATAGGTAGCTTTGGCATGTCTTTTATCTGAATAGCTTACGTTTGGTACCCAAAGTTTGGTTTATATTTCTTTTTCTGATTATATGTGCCATTATTGTATATTCAAAACCTGAATACCGAGTGCTCTACCGGTAGACTATGGCTTCACATACTAAAATGAATGGGCAGTAATGGAATCCACAACCACAAAATGTTCATGACTTCTAATTTGGTAGCTTTAGTTTGCAGTTGAAATAGTTTTTACCCTAAACAAGTAAATAAGGAAGACTTGCTGAGAAACACACTGGAGATCAGTTTTTACTCTCCTATCTAATTTCCAACCACACTTCGCCACTCCTTGTTGAAGTGAACAAACGAAAGAATGACCCAGATTCTGGGGTATTTTACTCCTTTTGTATTGTATATGTAATAATTAAATGGAACATCTTTGTTCAGAAGTATTGCTATGCCTCTATGGTGCTTTAGCTTATCCTGCTAGAAATTTATTGAATAGATAAGCCTGATCTGTTAGGCCTTATTTTATATCCATGAAATGTTTTTTATCTAATATTGTCCAATTGGTATTTAAAATTTAAAATGTTGGTCAAAATAGCTAGACTACCCTAAAGTTACCCTAGGCTAGCTCCATAGGGAATTACATTACTAGTCTTTTATATTGTTGGCAGCCCATTTCTTAACTTATTTTGCTTTATTTAGCAGTGTGTAAAACTTAAGTATTTTGATCTTTTTTAAAAAAAATATGATAATCAGTGTTAGCCTTATTACAGAGACACTTAGAAACCATTGTCTTTTTTTAAGTTTTGAGACTTTAAGGTACTACAACTTACAAATAAATATTTTTTACTGTAAAACCATTTACTGATAAATCTATATAAATGAATTCAGAAGTTCAACTTCTGAATTAAATAATATTTAATATACGTAAGTCTTCATACGATTATAATTTAAAAGTTTTTAAAGTTTGAATATACTTACATCAACCTCTTTATTATTTAGCAATAATTATTTCCTATTATAGGAGCTTTGAAAGTCAATGTTACCACATTTATATTGGATTAACAAATGAATTAAATTTTAGACTGACAGTTGAGTGCATACAAATGAACAATATAGTGAATACACAAAGTGAAAACATTAGCTAAGGTATCCTGCTAAACAATAATTACTGGTTTCTTAGTGTGTTATTCTACAGCTTTGAGGAAATGGAAAGTGCTGACATGAGTAAATATATTCTCTACTTGTGAACGTTAACAAAAAAAATCATAGTGTATATACTGACTGTTTCTCTCCGTTCCTTTCTCTAGTCAAGCCCTTCATCTCCAGAACCAGCCAGTCTTCCAGCAGAAGACATCACTACAAATTCAAATGGTCCTAAGCCTACAGAAATCTTATTAGATGATGACAGGGAAGATCTTTTTGCTGGTAATTTCTATCCCATTTTTAGACAAGTTATTTATTGGAAAAACTTCATGAATCCTTTGAAGTGTATAATTTTAGTGACCTGTTTTGCATCTTTTATCATCATTTAGTTAGTATTAAGTACATCGGAACAGTTTTTAACATTTAAACAAAATTGGTCTGAATAACTGTAACATTGCAACTATAGCATTGCAGTGGGCAACAAGCAAATATCTCCTATGAAAAATTATGACATATTAAAAGATCAGCCCTTTGTCAGTCTTATTACATACTGTTTTCTTTGTATATTCAGAATAGAGATTAAAAGATTAAAAGTCATTCTTCTCTCTCTTTTTGCATATTAACAGCTTCCTATTATGTTTCATCTTGGGAAATCATGCTTTGACCTAAGTTTAACAAGGCAAGCCATAATTCCTATATTCAGTCTCTCTTGGCGTAAACTATAACACAGAACATGTTTTATTGAAACTGTTTCGGTAACTGAAGCGTGAAGGACATAGTTGAATTAAATTAGCTTCATTTGTGCATATGTACTGACAGGCATGGTTTTGTAAATGACGTTCAAGAAAGGGTCATTCAGTTTCATGGCATTAATTCAGTTCTTAGAGCAGAAGGTACAACTTTTGGATTTCTCTTTTTTCTTTATCATGTACTGGATTGCTTTGGAAGAAAATGCAACCAATGAGATCACATTTCTGAGAATCCTGTAGCATAAATTATGCAACAATTGCTTTCCAAGATCAAACAACTGATGTATTTCATCTTTATGACATTTTGTTCTTTAAGGCAGAATTTAAACAAGTATGAGAAGCTTGTTCATATGGCTACTTATACAATTAAATGAGTATTTCTATTCAGTTGCTTTTAGCATTTTTATTAAGTTGCTATTTCTATTCAATTGCTTTTAGGAGAAGTTTGATGCTAATTTCTAGGATAAGTTACATTGATTATTTAACTTGGATTGTGACCTCTAGCAGACTAAATAACTGCAAGTATTTCAAGAACCAATACAGAATTTCTTGAGAGTTGAGAACAGCTACTTAAAAATATAAACAATACTTGTTTGTTCTAGCCGCTCCTTATTAGTGCTTTTCATAAGGTATCAATTTTTCATTGAAAAAGAAACTGCAGAAAAATCTATGACTTAAGTAAAAAGCAAATTAAATATAGTCTTGATTGATTTTGAGAAGCTAATGTTGTTTGTATTTGTGGGATGAACAGGAAATGCCAGGACTATGGACTAATTGGTTTTTTAAAAAACTAGGATAAGGCAGCGGCAAATCACTTCTGATTGTTATCTAGCAATGAGTAATAAAGTTACCAGAAGCTGACCTAAAGAAACGTGGGCAGAGATTACTATTGCAAGTCAAAAGAATGTTATATTTCCTGAATTCTAAATAATTAAAACCAGTTTTTAAGAAAAAGTAACTCATTGTTAGTATCCAACATTGTTTCACCCTTTATAGTTATAGCAACCCCATGATGACCTTCATGTCAGTTGTTAAAGTCAAGTAGTTGCTAAGAGAAACTCTGTCTGTGCTTATAATGTTACTTCGGTTTTTCCTTTGCTCGGACTTGTGAAAGTTGTAAATGCAAGCATTGGTAATTAAAGTTACTTTTTTATCACCATTATAATTGTGAATGGTTACTAAACAAGGCAGCTGCTAAACAAGGACTGTTTGTACTCTAATTATTATGATGTTACATTCCTGGATCAGTAGCTTAACATTTATTACTTTATTTAAAGACAGCTTTATGATAAATTATAACAATCATAGTGATATAAAAATATATTGCATCAGCAGTTTTTCTCTTGCACACCATTCAAGCAGTTCCCTGTTCATAAGAAATGTGCAATGTCCTGAATCCAAGGACATGTAGAATATATCCACTCTTAAGGTGCTTTAAGGTTTTATCACTAAAATACTATGTTATGCTCAATTGTAAGTTAAAATAGTCATTTGACAACTATCACTCTTTGGTTACATACATTTTAAGTGAAGAAATGTACTTGAAATATTTTATTTTACTTCATTTCTCTAGCTGATCTCTTCATAATTTAGAGGTATATATTAAAACAGATAAATATTATAATATATATTCATAATGCCTGAAATTATGGCTTAACCTTTGCTAATACAACAGCTTGGGGAAAGAACAAGTTATTAAACTGCCTGTGTGTCATCTGTGTGGCACTAGAAGCCCACCAGGCTTACAGGCAGTGCTTGGGCTAAGAGCAAGGTTCATTCCCTAACTTTGTCTTTCAGCTATATTTGTGTTTAAATGATGGATGATAGTAAAATGTGTATTCAGTATGGCTTCAGTTCTTTTTAATAGTATGCTAATTACTTTTGCAATTGATCTTAATTTGCATTAACAGATACGTTTCTGTTGTAACTATGGAATACAGAATATATCACAAATACTAATTGTACAATACATAATTTAAATTAAGCTTCCTCTGAATTCTAGACTTCTCACAATTACACTGAGAATCAGTGATCTGTACAGGAGTAAATGAAAGATAAATCTTTCTCATTGTATACACATGTAAAAAATATGCAGGCTAATGTATGAATGGTTCTCTTTTTTATTTAGAAGCAACAGAAGAAGTTTCTTTGGATAGTCCAGAAAGGGAACCAATACTTTCTTCAGACTCTACTCCAGCTATAACTCCTGTTACCCCAACAACACTAATAGCACCAAGAATGGAATCAAAAACATTAGTGGCCCCTGTGGATTTTGATAGATGCAGAGAAGAGGTATTAATGAAGTTAATAAGCCAATTTTCAAGCTGGATACACAATTTATAATTAAAGTAAATGTGACTATATTGGCAGTGTCCACAATAAAATTATTTAACAATAAAGAAATAGTTGACTTGCTTTAGAAATTGGTATTTATTCTTATGATAAATTTATGCAAGGAACTGGTTTTATAATTCCTACAATTTTGGTCACTTCTGCAGGGAATGCTGTCTTGTTTTATATTGTATATAAGTATTTGGAGCCTTTTGGAATGAATATTGGAATAAATATTTTATCACAGTAGCTATTGCCAATTTAAATAAAAACTTGGAAAGCTTTGAATGATTTTGCAATTACTTACTATCCTGACTTTATTTTTTCAGTGATAGTTACTCAACATTTCAGTAATAGTTACTCAACATTAATCGTATTCATAATGTTCTTCAGAATTAGGAAGAATTGTGCTTTATCTTGTCTAATCTTTAATGTTTTCAACGTTTTTATGCTGTAAGCCACCTAGAGTCATTGGCTACAAGATGGGCAGCAAATAAATTTAATAAATTAACAAGTACTATGTCTCTGCCAACTTAGAGATACCTCTGATTTCTAAGTTGGCAGAGACATAGTACTTATTAATTTATCAAATTTATTTGCTGCCCATCTTGTAGCCAATGATTCTGGGTAGCTTACAACATAAAAACATTGAAAAACATTAACGTCATCCGCTCTAAAAACTCAGCAAGTAAAAACATTAACAGATAAAATCAAGTAGCCAAGTTGGCAAAGAAGGGAGCCAGACACATGGGGGGGGGTGTGTAGCATTGAGTTTTAACTAGTCAACCACCTCCAGTATGAAGTTCCCCCATTGGGTCCCCAAACTATCTGGCACAGCAGGTCTTGAGGCTCTTTTGAAACATCTGGAGAGGGGGAACCTCAGGATAAGATGTTCCAGAGGACAGGAGCCAGGACAGAGCAGGCTCTTCTCTGGATCCCAGCAGCCGAAATTTATTGGCTGACGGGATCTGCAATATGCTCCCTCTGTTGGCACAGGTGGGGCAAAATAGTCCCATTGGGGTGAGAAGTTTCCTCAAATGCCTGGACCCATGCCAGTATTGTATCTATTCTCCCTATCCTTATGTTTACCATTAAGTAAGCATGCTGATATATTTAAACCACTTAAATTTTCTATTAAGAACTCATTAGATTGGAACATCTTAGAACTAAGGAAGAATTTTCTGACAGAACAATTAATCAGTGGAACAGCTTGCCTCCAGAAGTTGTGAATGCCCCAACACTGGAAGCTTTTAAGAAGATGTTGGATAGCCATTTGTCTGAAATGGTATAGGGTTTCCTGCGTAGGCAACGGGTTGGACTAGGAGACCTCCAAAGTCCCGCACAACTCTGCTATTGTATTGTATTGTATCTAGTTTATTTTG